ATTAAAACAACTATACAGTAATGTATTATTATATTTTTAATAATATTTATTTAATATATAAAACTAATAACTAATGCATGTTAAAGCTTGTTTTTATTTATCCAGGAATCCTTGTTGTGCAGCTACAGAGAGCCTGCGGCTAGAATTCTAACCACGTTACGACGGAGGCATGACCTACTTTATATATTTTATATGTTACAAACAATTCTATGTTTAATCAATGTATTATATACTATAGTGGTATATAGAGATGAAATAAAAGCTTTCATTTGTAGAAATATAAATATAAGTGAAATTGTCAACATTTTTTGTTGTTTTAACATGTGTCTTTACAGTAAAACGTATTTAAGTAGCAAGCGTAGTGATTAATACATTCCCAAAAAAGGTTGATGTCAGGTAGGCGAACGTAAAAACATTTAGCCATAACTATTCACAACATGTAAGGCAGACCCTGGTTAAAGTTATGAAATTTCCAGATAGAAGAAGAAGAAATATTTAAGTATGCCGTAAACGAGTATCAAAACAAAATAAAACATCTAGGACATATTAAATGTATAACATAACTAAATAATTGTAATGTAAATGACTTGCATTTCGATAGTATCTATACAAATAAATAAAATTGAAGTGTCTGTTTGTAATATTGAAATAACAATTTTTTACTACTTACATGTATATATGGTACATACACCAAAATGATATTTTTTTTTTTTAATTTTTTCTGTGTCTGTTTGTTCCGACTAATATCTGAAATGGCTGGACAGATTTTTACGAGACTTTTACTGGCAGATAGTTAAAGTAATAAGGAGTAACTTAATATACTTTTTATCTCGAATTCCGATCAATAAATTAAGCGTTATCAAGTTAAAGCTTAGAAATCCTTTCATTGTTTTCTTAACAGACGAAGACGAAGTAACAGCTAGTATATTCAATAATACAATAGATTTGTGTACGTCTTGTGCGACACAGCTATTTCAGATCTCGAAGCTCGACCCCCATTGTAAGCGTTGCATTATGGGGTACAAGATACATAATATTATGTGGCTATAATTAGATATGTAGGTACCTAGACCGTAATTTTCGCCTGCATTGCTTACCTCATGTCGAACAATAGAACCATTGAAACACCGGGAATCGGTTTAAGATAACTGTCGTAGTAATATTTAACTTGATTGTTGAAATAAGAAAATATTTGAAGCATACGTCACTTATTTTTCATAAAAATTACCGTAATTTAAGTATAATTAAATCGTAAGCCATATATACAGAAGCATTGCTTCGATAAGATTTAATTCACTTTTATAATAGCTTTGTTTTAATTTCTCGAGTGTTTAATTTGTGTTTTTGTGAGACTTTTCAAATGTGGCAACTGTATTAATAGCAAACCTTACAAAGATTCCGTCTCGTCAAACTTTGTTCATTCCAAAGCAGTGTAAGGATTCATTTGTTATAAATGTTGAAAAAAGAAATTAATATAATAATAATATATAATGTTACTTAGAATTAAGTGCACGTAATAAACAGGTATTAATTATAAATAATTATTAGTTGTGGGCGTAAGTCTTTCTGTCTGGAAATTGAAATGTAAACAAGTTACAGACTATATACCTAATGTTAAATTTATAAAAAAGATAGTAAAAATGTAAGTTTCTGTACGATTATTTTGGTTATTATTGATATTAGAACGTTAAACAAAGTAAGAATAATATAAGTAATATATTTTAAGCTACAAATTTATGTTAATGAGAAATAGTTTTTAATTATTGACACCAAAGTATTAATTCAACTAACAATCAAATATATATTTTGATTGCAACCTTTTTGATTATCTTTTTTTTATATTGCAATGATACAAGTTTAGTTATCTGTAAAGTTTCACGTAATATGTACATTGTTTAAACGGGTCGCCCGCGGCTCGTCTGGTAGTGACTGGGAACAGAATCATCATCTGTGGCTGATTGTTATGAAATTGACCGACGCTCAATTAGCGTTAATTATAACTGGAACTGATTTAATTGAGATCCTATGTTATGTGTAATAAGTATATTAGGTTTTTAGCGGGCGAAAAGTATGTTATATCTTTCAAAACTTAGAATTTCGTTGGCCTTATGTTATGTTATAGAAAAATTTCACGACTTAAAATTCGTATCGGCGAATGTAATGTCAAAATGTGACAGCTTATGTCAAATTCTTTTTTCATTTATAGGATAATCAAAATAAATGATTGTTCGAAAAACTAAATTAAAAAAGAAAAAAGCAAATAAACTTTATATACTCCGTATATTTCTCATATTTCCATACTTTAAATTATTTAACTGTTTGATAACTAACGTTTTATTAACGTGGATTGTAATCACAAAGCTACGTTTCGTTTTACGTAAACAATAAACGAACGTATAATTATATTGTATTAAGTCAATCGTAGTGAGAGGTTGATCGAATTGATTTGGTCTTGTGGGCTTTGGCGAAGATGAAATAGTTTTACAATAAACAATAATAAAACGAAAATTAGTTACGGAATAAATCAATATCTAAATGATATACGTACCTAATTAAAATTAAAATAATATTAAGAAGTTGTATGTCTTTGTAATTTTAGAGTATTTTCTTCAAATATATTATAACTTGCTGAAGCAATATGAATTACTTTCAACTTATTTCTTTGTGACCATTTCCTTTATAAAAGTTCCTCAATACAATATTACTTTTGCAAAAAGCAAGTGCATTCAATATATCTATTATAGATTAATATTTAAATATTCTTTCTGTACATTATAATATATTTTCATTAAATATCAAAAACCCTAACCTAAGTTAACGTGAAAGTTGTCTGCTTTGAGAACACGTCTTCTTATCAGAGGCTTGCATAACTAGAGGTCAATGACCCCGCCTCCCACCAAACCGTTGGATTCGCTGACTTCCGAGCGGAAAACAAAACCTTCGTTATGACTAATACTAGACAAAGTTCATTTCTATTACTATATGAAACAAAGAAGCCTTAGAATAGAGTTAAATTAATAGTACTCATTTTATTTGTTAAATATAATTATCAATACCAATGTGATTTTTCCGAATCATATGTACTTTCTAAGAGTATTTAGATACCACTGATTAATGTTGATTTCAAAGAGAGTTGATGTCAGGCAGGCGGCCGGTCGTAAAAACAATTAGCCAAAACTAATCACAACATGTAAGGCAGACCCTGGCTATAGCTGGGAAATTGCCAGGTAGAAGAAGAAGAAATATCAAATGAAATAAGTTCGCTATAGTTGAATTTCTAAAAGAGTTTTAGAAGTACGAAATGTTAGCGAGTCAAAAACCTCTAACACTAATTAAGGTGAAGTTGTAATCACAATGTTAATTGGGGTGCCTCCAGCAGCCTTTTATACCTTACGAAGGCTTAGCTTATAATTTCTTTACTGAATAATAAATTTTTTTAGAAAAACCGTAAAAAGTTCTATAAAAAATTTCACCATTTATAATATTTTCAATAAATAATAACGTCTACATTTGAAAGTAAAGAAAAAATATATTATAATGTTATGAATAAATCTATTGTAATTTTTTATTATTATTTTATTAGAATTATTAGTAGTAATATTAAATATGAACTAACATAGGAAACTACACGCAGAGTCGTGTGAAATTAGCAGGGATTTTAAAAAAAAAATCTTTTCATGCCTAAAGTAAATAAATTCATAATAAAAAATAGCATTTATTTTTCATAAACTAATTAGGTTTTTATGATGTAATAAGTTCAAAATTCGCGGATATAAAGATTTTTCATAAATGTATTTTTTTGCTTAGACTTGAATAAAAGATAGAAAAACAAGGAATAAACGAATATCTGTTTTCTATAATCAATGAAATTATATTATTTCTTATTATCTTTGTTTCCGATCGTATAAGAATATTGTCCCGCCGTAAGAAACACGAAAGATATAAATGTCTTTACTTTTCTAAATATTACAAACATTGTTAATTGTTACATCAATAACGTACCTTCTAAGAATAGACAACCCTCAATCGATTTATCTATGGGCAGAAGTTAATTTATTTATATAAACTGTGTTTTCTGACCGACAATTTGAAATTACCAATCGATTTTGTCATATAAAACCTGTTTAATTCTGTTACACACTATACATACTAATTGTTTTACGTATCAAAAAGTTTTAATATAAATAAATACTCCTTACCATTTTAATGACTGGCCAAAAATAATTTAAGAGAGCTGTTGTAATAAAAAAAAACAGAGTACTATTAAAAGTACGCTTTTATTCTGAATATATTTGAGTGATTCAAACCAAAAAAAAATGTAAATCTTTATAATTAATTTAATCTATGTATCTCATATTCAATATTAAAATTATATTAATTAATAAACATGCATTAAACTTCCTAATAATATGAATACTGAATATGAGAATTAGAAATTCTTTAACGTTTTTTGTCTCTTCGCACCGACCGGACGTAGTGACGTTACCGCTTTTCGGGACATGTAAATCTGACTGAAAACATGGACATTTATTTGGTGATCTAACTGTATATGTGATTGACATTGGCCTTTTTTAGAATCATATGTAGAGTTACATTTGCTGTCGACACGTTTTATACACGAAAAATATAACATTCACTTTTATTATGGCCAATAGAAAGTACTTATATTTGGATGGTAATGATTTTATTATTATAGACATGCGCCGGCGCATTTGTATTTAGATGGGTTTCGCGAGCTTTTGTTTTATTTACATATAATAATATTAATACAAAATAAATATTATTACTGATGTTGAATTTTGTTATAACAACTTATGTATGTATATATTAAAAAAATCAAAAATATAATTGGAAGTAATCGCAAGCGCAGGCTGTATTTGCACAATTGAAAATATCATAGTTAATTTAAAAAAAAACCGTAAATTATGTTGTTAAAATTTCGTAAACGTACTCACCGAATACTTTACTCATACTTTATAATACATAACACATAAACACACCTTGTTTCTGTTGTGCTGTTGTTTCCTTTTCAATGAAAGTGAGAGCGAATTCACTGTTTTCAATGTTCAGAGTGGTTGCGTGAACGCATGAAGCGGGTATGCCGCCCCACACGTCCATATTCCAAGCATACCATGTGTCGACACGCCCGCCTTCTACGACGTCTCGAGACGCACTGAGCATTAAAGCTTTTATGACAGAGCTTGAGGATTCGTGGTGCGCACGCGCAGCACGATATAGTGGCATTTAATATTATATATCATATTATTGATACTAATTTATTAAACAAGATTATGTCACTGTCGACTTGAAGAATGTTTAATTCTTAAACTTTATGTATTTGATGAGCTATAGCTTTTAAATTAGTTTAATATTAACATAGATATATATGTATTAAATATATATGTATTAAATATATATGTATATAAGATAATATATATGTATATATGTGTAAATAAACGTCGGGGTGAAACCTTCAAAACACTTATTGAATTTCAAGCCACGATTTGTAATTCTTATAAGAGCACTGCTATCGGTGACGCGGGCTCGTCGCAACAAAAAATACTGTTTTTCAATAACTATGTATACTTTTACTGTAAATTTATTTTAAATTAATTGTTATACGTATCAATAATACAGCGATTCGATGTTAAATTAAAATTTAATATATATAAATCTTTAAAACTAAACGTCGAAGTGAAAAGATTTTAATTAAGTTTAAAAAAAATTTACACAAGAATCTCAATGAAAAATTCCAAAAAACCTTCTTCATATATGTATAGAATGGCTGAATTATGTAAGTCTTGACATATATAGTGATTTTTTTAAATCTCCGTTTACTCCTTTTAGTTCTTCATATACCTAAAGTCAATATAAATAATAAAGAGTAATTAGCTCAATTATACTTTTTAATACTTTAAGGTGTGTTTTAATTATCTTTAATACTTTACCATACTTATATTATCTAAATTGATTAATATCAACTTTTATTAAAACTCTCATTGGCCAGAATTATATACTAAATAAATCGTTACATTATGTAAGTAGCTCTTACAGATATATAATGACTGCCAATAAATAAGTATTACTATTACTCTGTTTTTATTTGCTCAATTCCTCAAAAAAAATTAAATGTAGTCTATTTTAGGGAATAATATTGCAAAATATGGTAATATTTCCATTTCGATATTACTATTTATATAATATCTTAATTCATTTTTTGACGTATCTGATTTGACATCAATTTTTTTTATTAAAACAGTATAAGGTATAATTCCAAACAGCCGTTTGAAGTATTGTCTATTATACTTTAGATATTTTTAATTGAATACATATACGTAAATACAAAATAAAATACAATAAAGCTATGCATATTATATAAGAAATTATAATCATTTCTTAGTCACATAAAAGTCAAAATTTTACTGTCATCTATTTTCACTCGCGCCAATTTTCTTCGATGTTGATTACTCGTCCAAAATTTTATCAACTTGTATACAATATGTCATATTTATATAAATTAACATAGAATTTTCTTTCAGAAATCAATAGCTTTTAATTAAATTCTCCTTAATATTACAACTGTAAATCGTATTTAGTTTACAAATGCCCCAGTTTGTATTAAACCTATACTTATATTATTAACTAGAAGGCGAACTTCGTATCGTTCTATAATCAAGAAATATCTGTTACGTTTTTAAAAAAAAACGTTTGTATGGGAAATAGAAAAGGGCTGTTTTTAGGGTTTTCCCGTAAATGAATCAATTTTTTTCCGCTTTTAAACCTTCCCTGAACCTCCACGAATATTTCAAGACTAAGATAAGATAAATTCGTTCAGCCGTTCTCGAGTTTTAGTGAGACTATAGAACAGCAATTCATTTTTATATATATAGAAGATTAGCTAAATACTATAGTTTCTTTTTGCGAGCTTTTAATATTTCGTCACCGTGTGAACTAGCACGTTTGACATAAAAGCGAATGTAGAATAATTTATCCGTGTGGCTAGTTAGGTCGAATAGGTAAAGTACATGCAAATTTCAGTAGGTTTAACTAACAAAGTGAAGCTTGGCATAAAAATAGATTAAAATATCTACTAGAATTGTTTTAAACTATGAACTATTGAGAATATTGAAGAAGAATTTCATTTGAGACATATAAGTAATGAACTAAATATAATTTTTAATTCTTTAGCTATTCAAAGTAAAGATGCAGACTTATATTACAAACTTACTACGTTTTATCAGGCATTAAGTTAATATATCCATAAATTTAATGAAAGCATTTGAATACCATGTATGAGAGATTCACTTCCAATTTAGTTGACTTCAAAATGGACTGATTTTATCAGAATTTGTTTAGTCTAGCTTCGAATCTACTCTTAAATATCCGATTTATATGTAATTACATTATTACACATAAAGTATTGTGATTTGGATGACACAATCAATTAAAAGATTTATTGTTTCTCTGTAAGAAATGAAACTACATTTGAAGCTGTTAATTTACAATGTCGATACCAAAATCAAAATTAAAAAAATATGATCTATTTTACATGTTCTCTTCCTGACAACACTTTCGCTATACGTTATACAATCTTAAAGGACTCGAATCCAGAGCCGTAAAAACATTAAAAAAATATATTATACAATTTAAAATAAACCACAGATAATAAAATTTGGTATCTATGACATGTTAAGTAAATTATATATTTCTTTATATATATATATATGTTTAAACTTATGTATATGTATGGATAACAAAGGCTGTTTACTCGAGTGTATAGTAAAATTTAATTAAAATGAATTGTGCTAACTCAGGCTGTATGTACTTGTGTCATGTAAAAAGCCCAAGTCTCCATGGCGTTTGCGCAGGAAGCAAACTTATATAGTTCAATGAACCCGGTATAGCTGTTAGAAAGTGATTTAAATGAAATTCAACCTTATAATGTGTTGAGATGATTTGAAATTCACTGGCTGGAAAGTTGTATGAGTGTTAGCATCTAATCAAACTTGTTGATGATCTTGAGCAATGAATTTTCTACTCTATTATTTTGGTGTAGAGTTATTTTTGCTTTGACTCGTCCGAGCGAAGGTTCTGCAAAGCAGTGCCATTAGTGGATAGGCCAAGCTGTCTCGTAAGATTTGCTGATAACAAAGATTAAGTTCAGAATTAGTGCTGGAGGTGGCTCTTCCACACACAATATTTAATAAATATATTACTTGAAGCCTTTAATATATTAATTTAATTTATAATCAAGTAAAATTAAATTTTCGACACTAATTAAACCTTGTATAATGACATTAATATATTTTTTCATTATTAAATTATCGAATTAATTATTTGCTTATTAAAGAACATCTATACTATCTTGAACAAACCGAAGCAACTCTTTCGAATGAATTATTCCATATTCATATCATTGTTGAACGTAAAAATGTTCGAAATTATTCGTTCCTTATAGATTGCTATACGTAAAACTGTTCGAAATTATTCGTTCCTTATGGATTGTTATACGTAAAATTGTTCGAAATTATTCGTTCGTTAGATTGCTGTACATAGCTGAGGTCAATATATCCCATAGCTTGGCTAGTCTAGAAGATAAATAAAGTGTTTTACCTTACATAGCAGATAGTATGGAGACTCGAGGTATATTTATATATCTTATACTAAATAGCGCGCAAATTTAGTTATAGCTTAAACCTTATAGTTAACTGAAATAAAATATTGTTATTCACATTTAATAAAGAGGGTTGATATCAGGCAGTCGTAAAACTATTCACAACATGTAAGGCAGACCCTGGCTATAGCTGGGAAATTGCCAGGTAGAAGATTTGTCATATATAATGAAGAGAAAAAAGGAAAACAATTGTCTGGTATAATACCAGCATACTTAACGAAAAGTTTTTAATATATTTGTCGCAATATGTAGTTGAATAGTTTTTCATTAATAAATATTTTGATATAATTAGTATTAACGCGGATTATTTAGTAACGGCGAACGCTTTGTGTGTAGTGTGATGATGGAAACTTGTAATAAGCATGCAAACTAAATATGACGTATAGACCAGCTGACCTGGTAAACGTTGTTTTACCAAAAATATAGGGGTTGGTTATAAAAAAGTAAAATTTTTGGGTTGTATGTATTTTTAAAGGCTACATTATAAAAAAATAAAAGCAAAAATTTCGTCCGAAACTAAAAAAAAATTAAGTGTGAACAACCCTTATGACTTAGGGGCATTAAAAATAGATGTATTACGTTTCTCAGACCTACTCAATATGCTCACAAATTTTCATCAAAATCTGTCCAGCCGTGTTACAGGAGATCTCTGTCTAGCACCGCGACACGATAATTTTATATATAGATTGATTTTTAGTAATATCAATATGAAGAATACTACAATTAAATTACTTTAAATACAAATCATAATATCAAAAAAATATTTGATTACTTTTTACATCAAAGAAGATATCAAAATATCTGTCTTTCCATATTCAATTCTTACTATTTATATACACGTAAAACTATAAGTATAGCTCCTGACTCCTCATCTTAATTCATTAAAGTTACATTAAGTGATGATTTCAGGTGATAATGGAGTTAAAAACAAACATAATTTACAAATATCTTACATATATATAATTGTTTTTGCACAAGAAACTCTCTCGACTGGATCATAGAATATAGTTTTGTTTAATGCGAATTTTTGCGAGCATATATGAATGTATTGATATGTGTGAAAATGTATGAAAATTTATGGATTTTTTAAACGAAAAATACTTGAAAGATTATGATTAAATTGTATAAAGCAGCTTTGAAATAAGCTATAATTTAAATTGTATGAAATTTAATGACACTATTTTATGGCATTGTCGGTTTGATATCAAAATATGTTATTTTTATTATCGAAATATAATTAATTTATTTCTTTCTGAGTAAATCCAGTAAAAACTATAATAAAGTATTGCTTTAAAGTACAAATTTTTATATTTACCAATTCTTATACCGATCGTATTTATACATTGTCTTATATATAAAAAGTTTCTTACATTTTCGACTACTTTATTAGGAAAAATACTTCAAAATTAGTGTAAAATTCTACTATGATTGTCTCGTAGTTAAGAAATATCAAATTATCTAGTTACAGAGACTTTCATCTCGTCTGTCCGTGATCACGGTTGCTGTAGTGTAAATCGACGCATAAGGATTATGTAGAAATATCTAGAACAATTTAAAAGTGGTGGTATCG